CCCTAATATATTTCCATCAGCTTTGCAAATCTACACACTAGAATATTCTTACTTTAAATACACAAAAAAAAAACTGAAGTTGTGATGTGACAATAAGCAGAAAGGCTCAGTGGGTATGGATATTTTTGCAAGGTGCTGTTATCAGAAAGCAAGTCTGAGTGGTCACCTGGACTCCTGCGGGAAGCCCATCTTGTAAATAGTGACGACCACAGCTCCCCCAAGGCCAATGTTGTGCTGCAGAGCCACTTTGGCTCCGGGGACCTGTCTCCTGCCAGCCTGTCCACGCAGTTGCCAGCAAAGCTCTGCACACTGAGCCAGACCTAAGAGGAAACACACCAACAAAAGAGACAGAAGCTGATGATGATTTATATGCAAATAAAAAAAAAAAACATGATCAGCATACGGACTACATGAATGAGAGAAGCAGCTCCACCAGATGACATCTTTATAAGTCTGCATGTTATGCTTTGCTAAATGGACTGGATTTCCCTTTCAAACAGAAAAATATGATCTTTTGAAAGGCAGGAAGCCTAAAAGAACCACTGCGAAGTGAAGACAAAGGTGAACGTGAGGCAAAAAGCTTTAACCTTCTCACTCTTTTGAGTTCAAAAAGCGGCTAATGTAAATCTACTGAATCCATCTTGCTTTGTTCAACTCTATGCAAGGGGGAATAAAAACATCAAAAATTCAAACACATGTATCTGAAAAAAAAGGAGTGGTGGTTTAGTGGTTAGGGCATTGCGCTTCGATCCCAGAGGTTCTGAGTTCAAGCCCCACTGCCACAGACTGCCACTCTGTGTCCCTGAGCAAGACCCTTAACCACCACACTGCTCCCCGGGCGCTGCACAATGGCAGCCCACTGCTCCCCAAGGGGATGGGTGAAATGCAGAGAGCAAATTACGTTGCTTTGTATTTGTGACAATGTAATGATAAGTATGGTGGCCGGGAGGTCCAAACCAACATTACAAAATCTAAAAAACTTTTACAAGTTCCAAAAAAAATATATAATTTTAGAAAAAAAATATACATTTTTTTTTTTTTTACTTTTACAAGTTCCAAAACAAATTATCATTTCAGGAAACAAATTTACATTAAAAAAAATAATAATAATAATAAAAAAACACTTTTAAAAATTCAAAATAAATAGCATTTTAAGAAAACAAATAAAAAAACATTTGAAACACTTTCTACAAGTCCCAAAACAAATTATGATTTGAGAAATTCAATCGGAAAGGGTGGGTACTAACTCAGAGTCTTATGGAGCCCCTCTGATGACATGGTCAAAAAAAATTTTTAATTGTGGCCACAAATCGAGCGCGCCTTAGACCTTAGAGAAGGCGCGCTCGATTTGCTTACCCAGTTGTCCAGGAATGATATTAATATTATTAATAAGTATTTCGTTATACTTATTGCGTGGCCATGAAGTAGTATTTTGTGCGCACGAAATACTACTTCGTGGCCACAATTAAAAAATTTTTTTGACCATGTCATCAGAGGGGATCCGTAGAGTCTGAACCGGTCTTGTGCGAAATTCTGTTTCTGTTCTCCCTGTGTCGGGAGCGCGCTTTGCAGCCAGAGAGGCGGAACTGACCGTTTTCAAGGCGCTCCTGATCATTTCTCGGTGAAAACAGTTCTTATAATCATGTCAACTTTGTAACATTCAGTTTAATCGGTTGCTCTTTTTAAAAATTTGTAAAATAAATACATTAACGAGGTCTTCTTACGCTGCTTTGTGTTGTTTTTTTAAACGCCAAGAAAATCGTTTTTTCTCCAACTTTTTTCCCTTCAGCCTGACAGAAATAAATGTCAGTCATCTATATAGCCAGTTTCAATCCTCTTATATCAGCAATAAAAATTTGAAAATACACTACGTGTTGGAAATCTGTGTTTGGTGACTGACGTTTATCACAAACCTGTGAAAGATGCTTGGGGGTCTTGCTCAGGGAGCCAGAGTGGCAGTCTTTGGGAAAGAGGCTTGAACCTCAGGATTCCAAGTACAATGCCCTAACCACAAGGCAGCCACTCTCCAAAGTAGGCATTAGCATGAAGGGTCTTACCTAAGGACCCCCACTGGCAGCCCATTCCCCCCAGCTGGGATACGAACCCAGACTTCCTGTTTGCAGGATGGGTGACTTACCACTTGAGCTAGCCAGCTGCTATAAACCTAAATCTGATTCGGCGACATCCTGTCTTGATCAATACACCACTGTCGAATTGCACCACAGACTGTTCAGGAGTTGGTGGATTTTTTAATCCAGGTCTGGGAGGATATTCCTCAGGAGATCATCCACCACTTCATTAGCAGCGTCTCCAGGTGTTGTAGAGAGGTCATACTGTACAGGCATGTGGAGTCCACACACAATACTGAGCCTCATTTTTACCTGTTTTAAAGGCATACTATGCAACATTTTTCAGTTAATTAATGTGTTCCATAACGTTTTGGAGGATTAAATGAGTCATTTCAGGTCGAACAAAGGTTTTCTCGGCCGCCCTGGTGGTCTG